GATAGGAAACAACTCCTGTATATCAATTGATAAGGTGAGAAGACATGGGGGGCTCAAAATACAGCATTCAAATACTGCTCTGTGCATACATGCGGGTACAAGGCAAGCGATCAGGACATCTGAGCTGAGGAGGTGACACTTGCAGAAGTATCTGAAGATTCTGATTTGAAAATCAACATGTTAATTACCAATCTGCACGTCTGAGTGATAGTATTTAGTTTTCTCCTGTAGGGGAATGTTAAGAGGGTAGCGATTTTAACAGCAGACAGATCAATATTCAAGGGCAGCCACCTGAAGTGTTACTCCAGCTTTCTAAATGCCATACTTAGATACAAGAGAGCACTATCTTGTTATCTGTCAAATATCTGTACTGATTATAGAATTACCTACTTTTGTGGCGCTTTCTGTACTGTTTCTTAACAGCTAAAGGTCATATGTTGGCAGAGCATACCCTATTGAGAATAATTTTTAATTATGTTAGGATTGCCAAATGAGCATTTCCTAGCAAAACAGGATTGAGGAGCCTGGCCTTGATACTTCCCTCCTAAATGCCTCTCATACCAAATGCCAGAAAGATGAGATGGAATGCATCCAAGACAAGAACAAACTGACAAAGAGCGCAACTTGGTTATGGCAGCTGAGGAAAGAAACTACCGGAGAGAGGGACGTGACCTGATCAATGCATGTCAAGTGCTTGCCGTCAGAACTGGAGAGAAAACCAGTTAAAGCACTGTCTGAAAGCCAAATTCCCTTCAAAAATTGAAACTCTAGGGCCATCCAGGTTTGTGTGCTAGTGAAGACCTACCCATCTTAAATTACGTACCTGATAGATATCTTGATTATTGTTTTGCAAAACCAAACTCGAGGTGAGGGAAGTAGGATGCCCGCCAGTTCAATAACGATTACTTATTTGTGAAATTGGCGCTTGTGATCGAATTTCTGCGCAACTTCATGTGGTCCAAAAACTTCCACAGTTGAGTCCATCTGTGGCTGGTCAGTTCCAGCAACAATGCCAGTTTATTTTGGCTGATGTTTAAATATAAAACAAGTATACATCAGTACAGAGTCTTACATAGGACTGAGGAAGGTATGTGCGTTTCTGCACATACATAAAATTATAGCTGCTTGTGTGTCATTTATTAGTATTATTACTTAACTGCACAAAATTACACTTTAAGGTTCTTGGCTCTTGAATTAGATTTTTCCCATATGAAATCTGCTGCTCTCACTGGCTGTGCCAAAGGCTGCTGACGTAACAGAATTAATCATCATAATCAGAGTAAAGAATTATTCATTTTCTCATTGAAACGTCCTTGCACTGATCCTTGCAATATCAATCCTCCAGAGCTAACGCGTGTTCCTATGATACTGTCATAAGGGAAGGCCACAGCACTGCCCTACAACATGCTGAGGATACCTGCTGTAATTTAGCAAGGTCACCACCCAAAGGACAGAGGCATTTGTTTGCTTTTTCTTTGTACTGCTGTTCCTGCCGACTGAAAACGCCTATACTATGAACCTGGCTGGAAACAGGGCCAAGGTATTAGACCTACAGCGGCTGGTCTTCGAGCAGTCAAAACAAGCAAGTTTAAGCTGCTTTAAAGTAATCTGGTGGATTCAAGCTAGAATAGACAAACATAACTGCGTTTTCTACTAACAGAGTTGGTCAATTTGTGACAGGAGAGGCAGGATACGATGCTGCAGGTTGCCCTTTCTCATCCTTCTCTGCTTATTTAGTAAAGTTAAAAGCATGCGGTCTGTTGGAGATGCATCCTCAAAGCTTGCTTTCGCAGAAAGTACTTAATTTCGGTTGTCTTAAGGTAAATTGCAGGAACGGGATGCAACAGAGAATTAACACGTATCCTAGTTTTATTGTAAAATGGGTCTGGGACAAACTTCCAATCTTGTGTGCTCCATTTTTCTTCATTGCTATTAGTCTACTTTGTCTTGGAGGAGTGTTAGTAGGGCACTGACAGGGCAGTATGCCATCTCTACACCTAAAATGTGAATTAGTGCTCCATTTACTTGTTCTTCTGAATTCTGCAGCCAAGCTAGCTGTTGCTAGACCTGAAGGTGGGGATGCTGTGGTGCTGATGACATACATTTTACAGCTCACAGCATCTCAAGCTAGTTCAGACGCTGCCACAATCCACCAAGTACTTTCAGGTGAAAGCTGCTTCTGTCAGAGAGAGATGATTTTTCAAGTCACTGGAGTCCAGGACTTAGTGCCTGGGCACACAAACAAAAACCCCATGCATAACTGCATGGTTTTAAGACTGCAGTACTGCAGAGTACACTTCCTAGTGGGGCAAGAGTCAGATAAATACAATCGTGAGATTGTGCATGACATTGGCTTTTCCTTTGAAAATCCTGTTCTTGATGAAAGGGAAGTCTGAGCTGAGAGAAAGACAGTTTTAACATGTAATCATGTTAATCTCTCGAGGAGTACTCGAGAGTTACATATAGCGCTCCAGAAAACTGAGATCTTAATAGAGTCTTACACTTCCTTTAGGGTTTTTTTTCCCACCTGCTTGATGACCATTTAAATAAAGCTTAAGTAGAATTTGAATCAAAATCACAGTAATATTTATTGTGCCTGTAGACCCTAAAAACAAGAGAGCTCTGGCCACCTCTGTAAGCTCTTTCCTGGCATTACTTTGTTCTGGTGACAGCACTAGCTCATTATGAATTCATTGGGTGTTTATGTGGATTGAATGCATTTCCATTTATACTCAGGTGTGAGTTAGCACCTGTGACTGGGATCCCTTTGGTCAATCCCATTGCAGGGTTGCTGCTTTTGTTTCCAGCAAATTAACATGAAGATCATTGTACCAAACAGTTTCAGTTGCCAGTTGATCGAGTAGTAGCATGCATATTGCAGAGAACTAGAGGACAAGCTTCAGAAGTGATTAGAGTCCTCTTTGTTCAGGCAGAAAGCATATTGGCGTGTCTTGCAAGACATTACATGCATCTATCCAGGTCCTGATCCTATTTCCAGGGGAACCAATGGCAAAGCTCCAATTTATCCAAGTGGGAGCAATTTAATAATCTTTAGTATCTCCAGTTCATCTTAAAATGTCAAGAGGTGTTAAGGAACAAAGCATGAGGATAAGCCGAAGCAAAGAAGATGGCGCAAAGCTTAACGTGAGGTTAATGTGCTAGCATTAGCATAAAAACATTTGTTCTAAATTTCCACAATTCTACTGGAAATTGCTTTCAAGACTGAAAGAGGAAGCTGCTTAAAGCAGGAAGAGAAGATTCTACAAAACATATTTAACAAGATGTAGAAATATAATTACTCATCTCCTGAAAGTCTGCACATAGTCCATAAATATTTGCTAAAAGCTCAAGGCAATTAGGGCACAGACAAATTTTATCATCTCTGCTTTGTAGGTACATAAATGGAAAACACAGTAATTGACAAAATCACAGCCTGAGCCATCCAGTTGGCAACAGCCCTCTGCAGCTTGGACTCTCCATCTCCTACCCATGAAACTCTAGAGTAAACATATAGAGTAAACATATTTTATACCTAATGACACTTCTTTATTAAGATTACGTGTACTGTAATTAGCTACCACACATCTGAAATTTGAAGCAGGGCCTGGTTTTTAGCTTTCATAGCCAGGATAGAAAAATCAGCAAGAAGAATGTCGCAGAAGAAATCAGCAAGAGAACATTACAGATGTGAGGATCATTCCATGGAAAAGCTACTAGTTTCCCTTTGCTAAACAAACTGTAGGCTCACAAGCCTGAACTTTGTCTTCTGCAGCTATTTACTTAATTAGTTTCTCATGCAATTGCGGGGGGGAATGATAAAAATTTAAAAAAAAAAAAAAAATCACATTTCACTCTCTTACCATGTTAAGCTACTACTATTAAGTATGCAGTTTTGCTGTTAGTTTACAACCATCCCGTTTTAAGCACTGCACAACGGTTTTTGAAAAGCAAAGAGAAACAACTTGAAGCACAAGAAAGCTTTTTGGAGCTGTCTGTACTGTTACTCCTTTCTAACTCTAAAGGAGACTAAAATGTTTGCTGCGCTCTTTTGAACGCCACTTCTGAAACCATTGCTCTTCCACAGCATTCCCCAAGCTTAACCATAATTGGAAATTCACTTTTGTTTCCTTCTGAAAGGAGAAGTACTGAGTGCCTACAGGGCCCGAGTAATACTTAGACTTCATCATGGTGTTACTTGACATCTGTTGTAGACTTTCACATTACAAAACCACTAAGTTTTATTTTACCTTTTTAGTAGAGAGCTAGAATGCCAAAGACCCACAATTTCTTTAGCAGGTAATACAGATATTTTACTGCTGAAGATGCCCGTTGCTCTTCTTACTGTTTTATTTTTGGCAAAGAGAAAGAGGTTGATTCTTTTGAAAGCGCATCACTGCTAGTCAGGCACATAAACCCTTG